CTATCATGAGAGTATGTGATGGTGTATTGAGGTATCCGAGTATGATGCGCTAAATTGTTGGATTATTATGAAACTCAGGTTTGTTAGACGGTAAGTGGAGTATCGAGCGACTACTATCTATATTAGTTGTAGATCCATCAATTAATTGTCGACAGATGGGAATTTTTCCAAGGGCATAGATTTGTATTGAGGAAGATATTTTGTATTCAACCATCTTCATCAAGAGTAATAATGCTTGATCTGAGTAGGTGTGTGCACCTATTCAGGTTGGGTCGTGGAGTATGAGCTCAGTGAGCTCGGTATTGTGATAGCTTAATAGTGAGATTGGAAGATTTTTAACGACCCAATTTTCAAATGAAAATTTCCATCTTTAAATTGTCAAAAAACATTGTTCCATAAACCATAAAATGTCAAATGCATTTGTTTTCAAATTCATAACATTAACAATATTATTCCAACCATCAGAGTGTCCCATATAAACACCTGAGAGAGAGTGTATTCCATGTCATCAAGCCTTGCCCTTGCCCTTAGGATCAGATGTAACTGAAACAAATCCACAAACTATAAGTTAATGCTTAGTGAGTTCCCCAGAGCATACCCCATACAATCCACATTATCACATAATCATATTAGCTATAAAAGCTACATAAACCACATAAGCCATGCATACAAACATATAAGGTTGTCGTGGGCTCCTCCCAAGGTCTTACTCTAGGATGCCATGGGCTCCCCTATGGTCTTCAGCTAGAAAGCCATGGAATCCCCCCACAAAGTCTTACATGCAAATGTCATGGGCTCCTCCCATGGTCTTTACTTGAAAAGCCAAGGGCTCCCCCACATGGTCTTACATCCAAGTGTCATGGGCTCCCCGATGGTCTTCCCTGCAAGTATAATATAGATAGCTAGCATAATACTTAACATAACTAACTATCATACCACATATATCTACAATAAACCAGTACACCGCATATCACAAAATGGGTCGGCCCTGGTGCCTTTGACCCACTGGTATGGCGAGGAGACTCATCTATCGTGAATGCTGAACTGACAAGATAAGATCATATAAATCCCAATGCACAGCTCCAATTCAACTGCCTACAATCATCATGTGATTAACTTGTCACAATCTTGAAATACCATAAATGCCCTCAAAGTCAATCCTAGTCAAAGTCAAGGTCAACAGCCCATGTTGAGCTCAACTCGTCGAGTGCATCTAGAAACTCGGCGAATTACCTAAGTTACTCATCAACTCGCTGAATTACCTATGTAACTCGTCGAGTTCCTTAATGTCCAGAAGACTGAAAACTCATGTAGGCCAAAAACCCTAATCCTACACCGAAATCACTCAGAATCTCAAAAACGGGTAAACCCTACCCGACTCGTTAAGTTGCCTAAGGGACTCAATGAGTTCCTTCAGTCCTTTTGTGTTCAGACGTTTTTAAGCTACCCAAAAGCTCCAAATTACAGATCTAGCCTCCTAAGGCATGGTTTCCACATAAAGTTGCAAACTTTACGTGCATGCAAATTGTTAAATACCAAAATCAAGCTAAGGGAGGGGTTTTAGCCAAAGATAAGGGCCAATGCTTGATAAATTCAGTGACTTTATAACTCTAAGAACTTAGAGGAGTCCAGATCTGAAGTTACAACTCCAAATCTTACCCAACACCCGAAAAGCTTCACAAATATACTAAAAATGGCCTAAAACCCAATAAAAAGGGTATCTAATGCTAGAATGATCAAGGTAATGACTTGTTATCTTCAAATGGATACCCAAATAGTCTAGATGTTGGATCTACAATCTCCTCGTTCTGAGCTTCTCAACCCTCAAACTCCTTCAACAAAATGCACCAAAGACCTTCTCTTAGCCTCTCAAGCACAAGGAACAGCAAAGAACAGCTTACAGTTTCTCCTCTGGGTAATGAAGTGGTAAGGGGGCCACAAGAGGTTGATTAAGTTCTTTATATATGGTGCAAACCCTAAAAATTAGGGTTTTACTTTACAGCGCCTACTCATCTAGTCGGGGCCTTTCGACTCGTTGAGTAGGATCTAAATCTCGTATCCACATAAATGATCTCTACTTGACGAGTTGGAGCTCCCCAACTCGTCAAGTCCAAGCACAAAACCCTAAAAACTTAGAAAAATTAAATGATACCTGGAACAGGTGTTACAAATCTCCATTACTTAAACTAGACTTTATCCTCGAAGTATGTTGTTGCGAACAAGTCCGGATAGTGATCTCGCATCTCCTCTTTAGGGCTCCCATGTCCATTCGGAGCACCATTGGTGCTACCATTACACCTATACTAGCTTCACTTCATTGTTTCAAAGAGCTTTGGTCTTCCTATCCAAAATCACAACGGGCCTCCCAATGTAGTTCAGGCTCTCATCTACCTGAATTCCATCCATAGAAACGACCACGGCCTCGTATGTGACACACTTTCGGAGTTGAGACACATGGAAGGTGTTGTGTATGTGGCTAAGCTCGTCCGACAAATCCAATCGGTAAGCCACCTTGCCCACTCAGGCCGAAATCCTGTCCAATCTATCGGGGCGCTAGCTTACCTTTCTCCCGGAACCTAATGACTCCCTTCCATGGGGAAACCTTTAGTAACACAAAGTCCCCCACCTCCAACTCAAGATTTGATAACCGCCGGTCAGCATAGCTTTTCTACAGGCTCTGTGCGACTCACAGTCGATCACGCACATGCTGAATCAGCCAGGTAGTCTTGAGCACTACCTTGGTGCTTCCCATGACTCGGTGTCCCACCTCGCCCCAACAAACCGGGGTCCTACATCTCCGACCATACAACATCTCAAACTGAGGTCTGTCGATATTGGCATGGTAACTATTGTTGTATGAAAACTCTGTTAAGGGGAGGAATGTATCCCAACTACCTCCAAAATCCAACATGCATGCCTGAAGCATAACCTCGAGTGTCTGGATTGTCCTCTCACTTTTGCCATATGTATGGGGTGATATGCTGTGATGAAATGCAACTAAGTGCCCAGTTCCTTATGGAACTTCTTCGAGAATCTAGATGTGAATCGAACATCCTGATCGGAGACTATTGACATTGGAACATCCGTGTCTAACCACCACCTCTCGTACATAAATATCCATCAATTTCTCAGTGGAGATTGGAATAAAGTGGGAACTCTTTGTTAACCTGTCCACAATCACCCATATGGCATCCACATCCTCATTTTTCCTTGGTAACTTTGTGATGAGGTCCATAGTGATCTCTTCCCACTTCCACATGGGAATGGGTAGCAGCTAAACCTTTCCATGAAGCCGTTGATGCTTGACGTTAACCTTCCAGTAGGTCACACACTGCTCCATGAACCAAGCGATCTCCCGCTTCATACAAGATCTTTATATATTTTTAGCCCCCAGATGTATAGAGAACTTGGACTTGTGTGCCTCCTTCAATATCTTATGTCTCACTCCCCCAGTCACCGATGCCCACACCCGACCACACTGTGTCAGAAGACCTTGACTATCCCGAACAAACAAGGGATACTGAAACCTAAATACGCTATATCCTCGAATTCTCCTTCTTCACACCCTTGACCTAAGCTTGTTTGATCATATCTAACAATGGTGAGATCATCGTCATCCTCAAGCAAACATTCCTAATCAGGGAACATGTCATCTTGTGGCTCAAAGCATTGACCACCATGATGGCCTTCCCTGGATGGTATAAGATCTCACAGTCATAATTTTTCAGCACATCCAACCACCTCCTTTTTCGCATGTTGAGGTTCTATTGGTCCATCAAATACTTCAAACTCTTATGCTCAGTACAAATAGTGCACCGAACTCCATATAAGTAGTGTCTCCAAATTTTGAGGGGAAGCACCACTATCCCTAATTCCAGGTCTTGAGTGGGGCAATTCACCTCATGAGGCTTCAACTGCCTCAAGGCATACGCAATCACATGCCCCCTCTACATCAGTACCGCCCCTAACCCTGAGATCGATGCATCACAATTCACTACCAAATCATATAGCCCCTTTGGTACCACTAGATTCGGTGCCTCACATAACTTCCACCCCAGGTTCTCGAAAGCCAACTGTTGGTCCGGGCCCCATCGAAATGTCACATTCTTCTTGGTCAAGTGGGTCAAAAGCACGACGATCTTGGAGAAATCCTGGATGAATCTCCGATAGTAACCCACTAGACCTAACAAGCTATGAATCCCAGATGTGTTCTTCGGTGCTTCCCAGCGCATCATAGCCTCCACCTTGGCCGGATCCACCAAAATGCCTTCGTGGTTGATGATGTGCTCCAAAAACTGCACTTCACGCAGCTAGAAATCACACTTTGAGAACATGGCATACAACCCTTCCTTTCTCAATGTCTCCAATACCTCCCTCAGATGCTGCTTAAATGGACAGTAGATCAAAAGATTTATCAAACAATGACTATTAATAAGAACAATGAAGTTTCACAAAGAACTTTCACTAAGAATGATAATCTCACAAAGAGATTATTGTTCGTGCAAAGCAGCTATTAGGGTTTGTGAAAGACAACGTCTTCACAAACCTATACAAAAGACAATATACAACAATTATAGACAATCCCTACAAATCAGAGACGTTCCAGCTAACTAATAAACGATAACTATGGAAACAAGATAAATACTAAATCTGTTACATTAAAAAGATATACACTGAACAACTTGTATGCTGACGCTGGATTACGTGCTGATGCTGAGTGATCAGTTTGAAACATCATCATATTATAAGGTTCGACCTTACAATCTCCCCCAATATGATGATGTTCAAAACAACAGCTATACTAGAACACCTCTGGACAAAAATTCTTCATACTCAGCTTCAGCTTCTACTTTCACAAGCCAGTAAGGACTATCCAACAGCTCATGTCTTCTATTTAGTAACTCCATAACAATCAGTATGTGAAACTCTCCAGAGAGATCTTGATGACTCATGCACATTTGTCTTAAACCAACAAGATGTGTTGTTGGAGCTCTTGGAATTTATGTGGTGCACTGAAAACACATTTTCCTGTTTTTATCAAGATAAAACATTCCATGTTCAGGAATAGAGATGAACTTATGTTGAACCGGCTCAACACCGATAGGAAAAGAGTTGTTTATTCCTTCAGCACCAAAATTTAGAACCAATACATCTTCACTATCAACTTGAAATCTATTTCTTCTGATTCTTGGAACTGAGGAACTTGATCCTTGCTGCTGAGGACGTTGTGTAGGAACAAGATCCAGACGCTAAACTTTCTTGATCAGTAGATGAAGAGCACAGGTCAGTTCTGAAGAGAGAGCTGAAGTTTGCTTGGATGCTAATTCGAGCAATTCCATCCATTCAGAGTATGCGTAACTAATCAGCTCATCCCTCTTGACAACTTCAGTGTATGGATGTTGAAGACCTTGACGAGTGATCAGCAAAGTAAGAATTTTCTCGTTACGAGGTTTTGAGGCTTTAACTTTGATGATCTTATCATTACTCACTCGTCGTTTAAGAACATCTTGAAACCTCTTGCGATCAATCCTGTCGAGAACACTATCAGTTCTTGACTTGCTGCTACTGGGAGGAGGCTGTGAAGATTTAGATTTGGACTGATATTCTAACAACTTTTGCATCTGAGCTTCAAAGTATCCTTTGGCCTGAAGTTTATGTTGAATGACAGATTCATCAGCTTGAGCAATATTTTTTAGAAGCTGAGCTTTATTGGCTTCATCAAGAATTTTCTTAACTTGATCAGGAGACATGTTCCATGCAGCTGCCAAATTGGATATGCTGACGCTGGACTTAGGTTTCTTGCTAGGAAGAGAAGTATCTGTATGTGAAACAGCCAATTCAGTATCTGCTGCCTTGCGCTTGCGAGATAGAGGTTGAAGATCCTCGCTAGCTACGTCTGAGTCTTCTCCTTGAACTGGCACAGTAGGATCAATGAAGTTCATATCTAGCATTTGACACTCATCATCATGTTCATCTTCATTATCATCTGAGGCTTCTTCTTGAATTGGCACAGTGGGATCAATGAAGTTCATGTCAAGCATCTGACATTCATCATCATGTTCATCCTCATCATCATGCTCACTATCTTCAGCAAGCTTTTCAGTATCTACTGGTCTATCAGACTCGTCAGTAGGCTTTTCAGGTTCTGCTATTTTATCAGACTCGTGCACAGGCTGTGGTGGCTCGGTCTGGTTTAAAATGTTATCTTCAGATCCAAGCTCAACAGAGCCAGTTTCTCCCCCTTTTTGATCATCATCATGTTGTGGTCCAGGGGAAGGAGTTGGCAAAAGAACTCCCTTCAGTTGGTGGACATCAGCCTCAATTCGTAGAGGACGCCGACTCATGTCCCGAGTCAGTGTAAGAAGCTCATTAAATGGTGAGGTCGGTATATGAATGAACTGAGTACCTGGAACATCTTGTGACCGATGTTGCTCCCCCTGGGATGGTTGCTCCTTCTGAGATGGTTGCTCCCCCTGAGATGGTTGCTCCCCTTGAGCTGAGTGAACCCTCTCAGTGACAGAAAGAGTATGATGAGAAAGTTGAGGGGAGAGATGACCACCGTCCTGCGTTTCAGCTTGTTAATCAACATGATTTTCGTTGTTACCATAAGCTCCTTCATCAGCATCAGTGGTTAGTGAAGGAACAGTATATGGATTTGCGATCCATTCTCTCATTCAATCAGTTGATCACCACTGCGAGATTTGTGACCCACACATTTGCACAGTGCCCTAGTGAAGAACTTCCATCCTGGAGTCACACATTGACGTAGAATTAGAGTTGATCGAGCACCAGCCTTCGATTGATCATAGCCCAGTTGATCAAAGAGGCATCGACAGCGTTCAATAGGTGGAAGCTCAGAGAATGATTCAAAAATAGGTAACCTGAGCGCAGCAGTGAGCAGATCAGCGGTGATAAAAACTGAGCGTCGGCCACACCCAATAATCCCGGTGATGACGTTGTTTTCATCATTAACCGTTGCAGTGTAGTAGAATTCACATACTTGTTCTGGAATGAACTCTGATGGAACCTCACTGGTTGCGTATCGAAGTCGGCGTGAGACTAAGAAATTGACAAAATCATCAAGTCCAAGACCGCGATGAACATCTGGTATATCAGGGTTGAAAACAACATTTATGGCTTTGAAGAGAGGATTGTTGCGTGTGATAGACCTTGGTGTTTTGGTCTAACCATCAGCAAAGTCTGTTAGATTCTCATCAGCATGTGTTTTGTCACACCGAATCATAGAATCAGTGTAAGATTGGTATGAGGGGATAGTTGTGTGTGACAGAACTTGGTGTTTTGTCTAACCATCGGCAAAGAGTTTCAAGTTGTTATCAGTGTATGGTTTAATACAATGAATCATTCAACTTTAGTTTAGAAGATTTGTAGAAGAGATAGAGATAAGAAATGATACAATGTACTCATCATGCTAAACATTATCAGCACATCATCATCAGCAAAAAAAAAAAACATTAGTTTATAAGACAATAGCAAACATTAGTAAAACATTTTCAATCCAGAGTGATCATTCCAAGTTCGCCAATAATGTGAGCATTAGTTTGAGTATCCAGGGCCTTGGTGAAAATATCAACTAGTTGATCGGAAGTCTTGACATGTTTTAGAACAACCTTGCCCTTCTCAACATTGTCTCTGATGAAGTGATGTCTGATCTCGATATGCTTTGTCTTTGAGTGCTGAACAGGATTCTGTGTGATCTGAATGGCACTGGTGTTATCACAGTATATAGGAGTCTTTGTGAATTTAACCCCATAGTCTAAAAGTTGATTTTGAATCCATAAGATTTGAGCACAACATCTCCCAGCTGCAACATACTCAGCTTCTGCAGTGGAGATAGCTACTGAGGTTTGTTTCTTGCTGGACCAACTGATTACTCGATTTCCAAGGAAATGACATCCACCTGATGTGCACTTCTTGTCTAAGTTGCATCCTGCATAGTCGGAATCAGTGTATCCAAAGAACTTCCATCCTGGAGTCACACATTGACGTAGAATGAGAGATGATCGAGCACCAGCCTTCGAGTGATCATAGCCCAGTTGATCAAAGAGGCGTCGACAGCGTTCAATAGGTGGAAGATCAGAGAATGGTTCAAAAATTGGTAACCTGAGCGCAGCAGTGAGGAGATCCGCGGTGATAAAAACTGAGTGTCGGCCACACCCAATAATCCCGGAGATGACGTTTTTTCATCATTAACCGTTGCGGTGTAGTAGAATTCACATACTTCTTCTGGAAAGAACTCTGATGGAACCTCACTGAATGCGTATCAAAGTCGGCGTGAGACTAAGAAATTGACAAAATCATCAAGTCCAAGACCGCGATGAACATCTGGTATATCAGGGTTGAAAACAACATTTGTGGCTTTGAAGAGAGGATTGTTGCGTGTGATAGACCTTGGTGTTTTGGTCTAACCATCGGCAAAGACTGTTAGATTCTCATCAGCATGTGTTTTGTCACACCGAATCACAAAATCAATGTAAGATTGGTAAGAGGGGATACTTGTGTGTGATAGAACTTGGTGTTTTTTCTAACCATCAGCAAAGAGTTTCAAGTTGTTATCGATGTATGGTTTAATACAATGAATCATTCAACTTTAGTTTAGAAGATTTGTAGAAGAGATAGAGATAAGAAATCATACAATGTACTCAGCATGCTAAACATTATCAGCACATCATCATCAGCAAAAAAAATAATAATAAAAAAAAAATAAAAAAAAAACATTAGTTTATAAGAAAATAGCAAAAATTAGTAAAACATTTTCAATCCAGAGTGATCATTCCAAGTTCGTTAATAATGTGAGCATTAGTTTGAGTATCCAGGGCCTTGGTGAAAATATCAGCTAGTTGATCGGAAGTCTTGACATGTTTTAGAACAACCTTGCCCTTCTCAACATTGTCTCTGATGAAGTGATGTCTGATCTCAATATGCTTTATCTTTGAGTGTTGAACAGGATTCTATGTGATCTGAATGGCACTGGGGTTATCACAGTATATAGGAGTCTTTGTGAATTTAAGCCCATAGTCTAAAAGTTGATTTTGAATCCATAAGATTTGAGCACAACATCTCCCAGCTGCAACATACTCAGCTTCTTCAGTGGAGATAGCTACTGAGGTTTGTTTCTTGCTGGACCAACTGATTAGTCGATTTCCAAGGAAATGACATCCACCTGACGTGATCTTCTTGTCTAAGTTGCATCCTACATAGTCGGAATCAGTGTATCCAAAGAGTTCAAGTGCTAAGTCACGAGGGTACCACAGTGCCAAGTTCTGGGTGGCCTTTAAGTATCGAAAAATGCGTTTGACTGCAATGAGATGAGACTCCTTGGGATTAGCTTGGAATCTAGCACAGAGAATGGTTCCAAACATGATATCAGGGCGACTTGCAGTGAGGTAGAGAAAAGATCCAATCATTCCTCGATAAAGAGAGTGATTAACATCAGTGCCGGAAGGATTAGCGTGTAGCTTATCAGTCTTGGACACCGGAGTAGAAGCTGGTTTGCAGTCGCTGAGAGAGTACTTAACTAGCATGTCAGCAATATATTTACATTGACAAATTGAGATACCTAATTTTTGTTGCTGAACCTCAAGACCTAAGAAGAAAGTCATCTTCCCCATCATGCTCATTTCAAACCTTTGAAACATGATCTCAGCGAATTCTTTGCTCAGCTTCTCATTTGGAGATCCAAAGATGGTATCATCGACATAGATTTGAACAAGAATCATTTCTGAGGCTTTCCTTTAGATGAAGAGAGTATTGTCAATTGCTCCTCTTTTGTAGCCATTTTCAAGAAGATATGATGTCAGTGTCTCATACCAGGCCCTAGGAGCTTGCTTCAGTCCATATACAGCTTTATCTAGTCTGTACACATAGTCAGGTTGCTCTTTGTCTTCAAAACCTAGGGGTTGTTTGAGAAATACTTCTTCTTGTAACACACCATGAAGAAATGTTGTTTTGACATCCATTTGGTAGACAATGAACTTCATGTATGAGGCATATGCGAGAAACAGTTTGATTGCTTCAATGCGGGCAACTGGAGCAAAAGTCTCCCCGTAGTCGATAGATTCAATTTGAGTGAACCCCTGAGCAACAAGTCTTGCTTTGTTGCGAGTAATAATACCATCTTTATCAACCTTGTTGCGGTAGACCCAGCGTGTTCCGGTGATGGTCTTTCCTGATGGTCTGGGAACAAGGGTCCAAACCTTGTGCCTTTTGAACTCGTTCAGCTTGTCTTGCATGGCTTTAATCCATCCAGTCAGCATCTTGAGGAGCTGAGTGTATCTTGTCAGGTAAAATCATTGAAACGAAATTAACATACATGCAAAAGTTATTAGATACACGTGATCTGGTTCGGACACCATCATGAAGATTCCCAATAATTTGATCAACAGGATGATCTCGATGTCCGGAAGCTAATTCCAATGGATTTGACACTGAAGTGTTATTGCTGAAAGGAACATCAGTTGCAGGAGAATATTCAGTCTCAGGGGTTTATTCAGCATTGGAAAAATGAGTTGTCGAGCTGACCGCAGTATCTTGATTTACAAAATTTGGATCTGGAACGATAGGATCAGGAATAATAGCTTCTTTTTCGGTATGAGAAACTTCATCATATGGGCAAGAGAGAAGCTCTTGAAAGATAGAGGAGGAATGAGCTGCTTTTTCATGAGTGTATGATTCCTCATCAAACTTTACATGAATGGATTCTTCAATGCACTGCCTGTTCACATGAAAAACACGAAAAGCCTTTGAAATAGATGAATATCCAACAAAAATACCTTTCTCAGCCTTAGGCTCAAATTTTGAATTGGGATCGCGTTGATTAAGAATATAACATATGCATCCAAACACGTGAAAGAAGGATACATCCGGCTTTCGACCTTTCAGCATCTAATATGGAGTCTTCTTGTGAACCCTGTGAATTAGAGATCGATTCTGAGTATAACATGTTGTATTAATAGCTTCAACCCAAAACGACATAGGAAGACCAGCATGAATCATTAAGGTCCTTCCTGCCTCAATCAGTGTTCGATTTCTTCGTTCAGCAACTCCATTTTGTTGAGGTGTGCGAGGAGCTGAAAAGTTCAGCCCAATGCCTTTATAATCACAAAATTCTTCAAGAGCTGAATTCCGGAACTCAGTGCCATGATCACTCCTAAGCTGCTTAACTTTGAGACCAGTCAGTGTCTCGTTTTGACGAATCAGGGAGATGATTTCCTGTTCAGCATGACTTTTCTTCTTCAAGAAAACCACCCATGTAAATCGAGTAAACTCATCCACAACCACCAGAGTATACTTGTTTCCTCCTTGGGAACGAACAGGAATAGCTCCAAACAAGTCCATGTGTAGTAAATGAAGAGGAACAGCTATGCTAGAACAAGACTTGGGTTTGAATGACGACTTGGTTTGTTTTCCTTTTTCACACGCTGAGCACATCTTGTCTTTGACAAATCTGAGTTTTGGGAGACCTCTAACTAGAACTTGATTGGATATTTTAGATAGATTCTTAAAGTTCAAATGAGAGAACCTTTTGTGCCAAATCCAGCTGAGATTGGTTTGAGACTTTGTAAAGAAACATTGCATCAGCACCTTGTCACTTGAGAACATGTCAAGAACATATATATCATCTTTTCTACTTGCTGAGAGTACAATGTTCTTGTTAGTGTTAATGACTCTTCCTTCCTTCTTTGTAAAATGAACTTCATAATCAGCATCACACAATTGGCTGATTGAGATGAGATTGTGTTTGAGACACTTTACATATGTAACATTCTGAAACACCACATTATTGCACTTGATGTTTCCATATCCTTTAGTAAACCCCTTTCCATTGTCTCCGTATGTTACTGCAGGACCAGTGTTCTTGACATAGTCTTCCAGGATAGACTTGGATCATGTCATATGTCTAGAGCAACCGCTATCTAAGTACCAAAGATGCTCCTGACCCTGCAATGCTGAGAAACTAGTTAGAACACACTGACCCATTGTAAGATGGGTCATTCACAAAGTTATTTGACAATATATTATAGCACTCTTTAGGAAGACAGTTTAAAGAATTTGATTTAAGAGTCCATCTTTCATTTCTAACTTTGATGTTATCAGCTCTTAATGATGTTTTACCAAACTTGCACTCACTGATTTTGTGAGTCGTGTCACCACATCTGTAGCAAATTCTAGTACCAAAGTTTTTCTTGGTAAGCACATTTCTAGATTTAACACATTTATATTTGAAAGATTCACCAAGTGAACTTTGAGTCCTTTTATTTGACATTGAATTACTACATAATTCAGTGTCAGAAGAACTATAATCAGTGATGGATAAGGAGCTGACATCAGTATCAGATTTAGACTTATGTACTGCAACACTGCAATCAGGATATTGTTTAAGTTGTTCATGAACAGCATGAAACACTCCGTTTGAGATAGTAAATGCGATAATATTTTCAGTGAGAGGAGTTGGTCTCTCAAGATGTGCATGGTAAGAAGTAGGATCAATTCCGGTAATTTCAATATTACACTCAGTAACACCATTAGAATCAGTAACACAGTGTTCATCAATAAAACTCTGATTAATAAAAGTGTTGCTGATAAATTTGTTTTTGAAACTATCTTTTAATTCATTCATGGAATAAAATTCAGATTCCTTTTCTTGAGATTTAAAAACCTTTTCAGCTTCAGCAAAATTTACCCCAAGGATTTTCTCACATGAATGAGGTATTTGAGCCGAAATAACATAATTAGCATTTTTGTGAGATCTAGCCCAAAGTTTTAAAACAGTTTGTTCTTTGTTCAAGAGATCTTTAACTTTATCAATTTCACCAGATAGTGAAGAATTTGATAAACTAGTAACTCTTAGATTTTCCTGAGTAGTTTCAATAATGTTATTTTTCAAGGATAGTTCAGCTTTAAAAAGATCAATTTGATTCTACATATCTCATATGATTTGATACTTCTTAGAATTAAGAACACCCAAATACTCAAACATTTTGATTTTTTCATTCATTGAATAGGAAACAAAGTTTTGAACCTGATACACTGAAGGAGAATCAGTGTTGTGCTTCCTGAAGTTTTCAACTGCATCAGACATATCAGCATCAAACGAACTATTGCTGACTTTACATTCATCAGTGTCTTCTATCTTGGTCATCAGACATTTAAATTCATCATCTGATGACTCCTCATCAGTCTTCCAATTTTCTTCTTCAGCGACAAGAACTTTATGTTCCAAGTTCTCTACTTTCAGTTTCTCAACCAACTTGTTGTACTTCTGCTTCCAGTATTCATCCGAGCATTGGGTTCTTTGCTTGCATTCTTTTGCAAAATGATCAGTACTACCACAGTTAAAGCACTGAGCTTTCCCTTTCCTTTTAGTAGCATGTTTCTTGTCAGCATCTGATCTTTTTGAAGATTTCCCACTCATCTTTTTTTGAAACTTTGAGAAATTTCGGCCTGATTTCTCAAAATTCTTCACAATTAAAGCCGCACTAGCAACAACTTTTCCCAGATCATCAATCTCAATTTTAGAAGAATCAGTGTCTAAATGGTTTTTAGTGTCTGACTCTAACACTTGCTTTTTGTTTGAGAATAATGCCACAGATGACTCACACTGAGCATCCTGCATCAGGTCCTTTCTCTGAAGTTTGGATTCCTCATAGTATCGAGGATTTCCACAGAGACTTTGTAAGTCCATTGTGTTGATCTTCTCACTATTTTTTAGCACATCAACATGATTCTCCCAACCTGCACCCAGAGAATCCAAAAACTTCTGCACTAGAACAATTTGATGCTTCAACTGATCTAGTCTCCGTAGATCATTAACAAGTGTATTAAACATGTTAAATGTTTGAGTCATGGTTTCACCTTTCTTTGCAAAAAAATGTTCATACCTTCTGTTTAGATCATTGATTTGAGTAGCCTTGACTACTTTAGTGCCTTCAAAAGAGATAGTCAGCGTGTCCATCATTTCTTTTGCTGAGATGCAATTCTGAACCAGCCCAAAGATATTGTATGGCAAAGCATAGCTGATTGCAGCCCGAGCACGAACATCGAGACCATTCTTTATTTTGCCATCTGCTGTCCGGTTTTCTCTAGGTGTTTTCTTCATGGCACCATTACCAACATTGTTTTTCAAGGGCTGATACATCTGAACATATGGACCTTTTTCGATGATATCCAACATGTCTTCATCTACAGATTCTAATGAATAGAGAGCCTTTATTTTCCACATAGCAAAGTTGGTTTCATCAAACGGAGGAATTTTAGCAGAAGGATGATTTGATGAGTTTGAAGAGGAAGATGACGAAGCCATTTGTTTGATAAAAGAAACCTACTTTGATACCAATTGAAATGACCTTAGATCAAACGATTTATCAAACAATGACTATTAATAAGAACAATGAAGTTTCACAAAGAACTTTCACTAAGAATGATAATCTCACAAAGAGATTATTGTTCGCACAAAGCGGCTATTAGGGTTTGTGAAAGAAAACGACTTCACAAACCCATACAAAAGACTATATAGAACTATAATAGACAATCCCTACAAATCAAAGACGTTCCAACTAACTAATAAACGATAACTATGGAAACAAGATAAATGCTAAATCTGTTACATTAAAAAGATATACACTGAACAACTTGTATGCTGATGTTGATGCTGACGCTGGATTACGTGCTGATGCTAAGTGGTCAGTTTCAAACATCATCATATCATAAGGTTCGACCTTACACTACTCATGTTGCTCCTTGGTCTTAGAATAGACTAGGATATCATCAATAAAAATTATCACTGACCGATCCATCATCGATCTACACACTGTATTCATGAGATCCATGAACGTTACTGGGGCATTGATGAGCCCAAATGACATCACCACAAACTTATAGTGCATGTACCGGGTCCTGAAATTTGTCATCGGTATATCCTCGTCCCGAAGCCTCATCTGATGGTATCCCGACCGAAGATCAATCTTTGAAAACCAAGACGCACCCTACAGCTGATTGAACAAATCGTCGATCATTGGTAGCGGATAATAGCTTTTCACTGTTAGTTTGTTTAGCTCTCGATAATTAATCCACATCCTGTGTGACCAGTCCTTCTTTTTCACGAACAGGATCGGAGCTCCTCACAGGGAACTGCTTAGAAAGATAAATCCTCAGTCTAGTAGCTCCTAAAGCGGCGTAGATAGCTCCAGCATCTTGGGAGGAGCTAGCCGGTATGGTGCCTTGGCTATCGGAGCGGTACCCGACACCAAATCAATGTGAAACTCCACTTGCCTCTACGGAGGCACTCCCGATAACTCCTTGGAAGAGACACCCCGAAACTCCTATACAAACAGTACACTGTCCAAATCCCTCGGGGTCTCAACCCTCATAACTGAGATATATGCCAAAAATCCCGTACAACCCTACTGCAAAAATCTCCTAGCCCTCACAGATGAATAGAGGGTTGGCCCCTATGAAACCCTTTCTCCATGAATGACTAATTCTCCCCTAATTGGGGTCGAAACCTTACCAATTGGCTCTCTAAATCTATCATGGCCCCATTGGCCCCTAAACAGTCCATCCCGACAATCACCTTCAGCCCTCGCAACGGCATCGGGACTAGATCAACACGGAACCTCTCCCTAAGCACATTCAGGACACAATTCTGATACACCCTCGCAGCACTCATTGTGCGGTCGTCCGCAATGTCAGCTTCAAGCGGGGAGTCCAAGGTCCCCGGTACATCCTGAAACTTCTTACTAAGCACAAGAGATACAAAACGATCGGGTAGCACTTGAATCGAATAGAACGTGAGCCGACATACCACTGAACAAAAAGGTCCCTATACATAAGCATAATATACACATAAGCAATGCAAGTAAATATAGAGCAGTAAGATAAAATACATACCAACCACAATGTCTGACATTGCCTAAGCCTCCTCGATGGTCAACTGAAATGCACTACTCTTCACCGTAGGAGCATCCACCTTAGCAGGGCGGCCATTTGTAGCATACTGCGGGGATCAATAGTGCTCATTCCTGAAACTTGGCGGTGATCTCCACCATAATCTTGGTGGTCAGATGAAGCTCCTGAAACCCCCTCACTAACCGTCGCACCTTGATAGGTGGTGCAAACTCCAGGTCAAATTGCTTGACAAACTTGGCTCATGTCATCTCAGCCACATCGGCTGGCCCCACCTAGCTAGTCACCTCTCCCCACTAGTCTCGAGCTCAATCTCTCACCGTACATGAAGCAAAACCCACCTTTTCCGCATCAGGGCAAGAACCTATACGCTAAGCGTTCTCTATGTCTGCCACCTAGGGTCGACTAACAATGTAGTCCCTAACCCCGAAAAACTCTGCTGCCCCGCACTCCTTGAACTCCCGAAACGAGGGAGTTCAGACTCAGACCTGGCCCGCAGCAATCTCGGCTCTAAATTCGCTAAGCCT